CGGGGGTGTGCGCGCATGCCCACGCATGGAATTAACCCAACAGGCAGGGGGAATCGAACTGCCTGGCCTTAGGTTGATCCTAATTGGGATTATAATAAACAGATAGAGATAATTGCCAAACAGTAGTTAGAAATCTGATAAATGTGCTTAGAGTTTGCGAGGAGGTAAAAGTAAACTGAAGTACAGAAACGTAGACGGAGGCCAGAGGGACACCTCAGCAGCCACTGGGGAAGATTGCAACAGGCTTTGTTGATGTACTGGGGAATGACTCTCCAGAATTTTAATAATGAATTGGCAGCAAGTGTGTTTGTGGATCAAGCCACCTCTGACATCTGCAACTATTTTAACGATCACATGCTGGGCTGGCAAGGAGAAAATTTGCAGAAAATTTTAAGTGTGGCAGCGTTTGTATATGATGGTCAAGAGCAGAGCAAATGGAAGAGAGAAAGGTAGTGAAGGAACAAGAAGCCATTTTGTTGGCAGTTGCATTGGCAAAAAATGTAGAAGAGGCAGGGGCAGACGGAAAAGAAAACCAGGTATGGGATTTGGCCCACGACAAAGGAACAGAGAAAGGAAAACAAGGTAAAATGGAGGGAGAGAATGTCATTATTGTGGAAATGTGGGACATATACGATGAGAATGCCTTCTCCATCCAAGAGAAACCTGAAGAGAAGGAAATTATCAACATGAAAGGTTAACCTGGGAAAATAATCACTTGCAATGACTAGAGGAGGGAGACTCGGTGAATTATGAGCGATTAAGGGAGCTGGAGATTTTTAATATGTGGGAAAATCATTGAGAACAGCAGGGATGCATACAAGACAAAGTAGCAGGTCATGAAGTTGAATTTTTGGTGAAATATAGGAGCAACTTTGTCTCTTTTAAATTTTACTCCAAAAGGATCAGTGACTATGGACAAAAATTTTAATGCATGGAGTCACAGGACAAGGGGAAAGTGATTTGAGTAGTCCCTTACTAGTTACAATAGGAAACAAGAGCATACAGGGAAGATTCGTGTTAGCAGAGGATTCCACAGCGTGCTTTTTTAGAAAGAGATCTCTTGCAGGCTTTAGATGTAGAATTATGTCTGCCACTTGAGGGGATAGATTCAATAATCATGGGGATGAGTGTGATCACTAAAGGTTCGAGTAATGAGCTGAAAATACAAGAAGTATTGAAATCCGTACCAACAGAGCTGGTGTACACCAGCAAGGGTGTAGAACTGCTGGTATCAGCTCAACCAGTAAACATTAAAACTAAGGGAAGAGCCCCACTGGCCATGAAACAGTACCCCATTCCCCAGGAAGCAGAAAAGAGCATCCAAAAGCAGAGACACCCATATTTAGCCCAAGAAATTTTAAAAATATGTCACCTTTTAATACTCCTGTACTCCCTTTAAAAAAAGAACAGACTAGATGAAGATGGGGATCCAGGATACCCTTTTGTACGAGATTTGCGGGCAATCAACCAGCATGTAGTGGCTCCTCACACTGTGGTGCCTGATCCCTCCACTATACTTTTGCAAATACCACATTGGGCAAAATATTTTACAGTGATTGATCTAACCACCACCTTCTTTAGGATTCTGTTTGACAAGAACAGGCAATGTTGTCTGCCTTCACATGGTAAGGAAAACAACTAATCTGGACGCATCTCCGCACAAGGGTTTGCAGAGTCTCCTACAATTTTTTTCCACAAATACTGGGCAATCATTTGAAAGATAGAGTTACCAGGAGAATCATCTCTTGTACAATATGTGAACTACTTGTTACTTGCCAGCAAGACATACTAAGATTGTTTAAAAGATACTATTTGTCTATGTACTGCTTTAGCAAAACAAAACAAAAGGTCACCGTGCATGTCTTTCTAAGCTTCAGCTGTGTTTCAGGAAGGAAAATATTTAGGATTCCTATTAAAAGAAGGAAAAATATTAGTAGACCCAGAACAGGTCCAGGCTACTGTAGAAATACATCAACTGGTAACAAACAACTGCGAGGATTTTTATGCGCAGTAGTACACTCCAGACTCTGGATACCTGAGTTAAGCCATGGACAGAGGCTACCAAGGCAGAGGAAGTGGAGCCTGTAAGCTGAGGTCCAGAGAGAGAAAAGGCTTTCCAAGCTATAAAAGGAGCCTTAGCTTCTGCTCAAACACTGAGATGGCCAGATTACTCCAAGCCCTTTGAGCTATTTGTGCATGAGAACATGCATGGGCTGTTGTTGCATGTTGTGTATGAGTAGCTAGCAGAGTCCTTACTTAAAAGCAAGGTTCATATCATTGCCCTGTAGCTTATTACTCAACTGGATCCTGTAGTGGGTCCTGCAGTGGCAGGGAATAATTCCTGTGTTAAAGTGACAGCAGCAACAGTGACTACCATAAAAAAGAGCAGACCATTAGTTCTGGGCCACCCAAGAACTGTGTATGTCCTGCATGAAGTAGAACTGATTTTTAAACAAAATGCTAGGCAAACATTGTCCCCACAAAGAGCACATTGTTGTGAATTACTGCAGATAATATTATTTTAAAAAGATGTCATGTTTTGAATCCAGCAACTTCACTGCCTGTTCCCTCCGATGGTGAGCTGCATCATGACTGTGCTAAGGTAGTGTTTCACCCCAGCTGTCTACGGGAAGATCGGCAAGATCAACCTCTAGAGAACTCGGATCTAACCCTTTGATGGATCTTCATACTATGTGAATGGAAAATGACACACAGGCTATGCAGTGATGAGAAACTTAGAGGTACTTGAAGCAGAACCTCTACAACCCTTGGGTACTGCCAAAGGGCTGAATTAACCGCATCAACAAGAACAGCCTGGTGAGGGCCTAACCATAGAATCACAGAATAGTTTTGGTTGGAAAAAACTTCTAAAATCACCAAGTCCCACCGTTAACCCAACACTGCCAAGTCCACCTCTAAACCACTTCCCTAAGCACCACATTTACGCATGTTTTAAACTATTCTCACACCTAGAGGTAAACAGGTTCCCTGACAGATTAGCCCTCTTGTGAAATATAACAGTGCCAGTCACTTCCAGAGCTTGGGAACTCCCAATGTAAAATGCACCATACGTGCCTGGCCTCAATGTGACGTCTTAGCAAACAGTGGCATCCAGGTCTTCAACATACCTGATTTTGATCAACAGCTTTCACTCAGAACTCACAAATGAGATGGGAAAAATGAAGACCCTCAATTTCACCATACTTCACTAGAAATTTCAACTTGTGAGAAACCAAGAAGGCCACTGGATGCCACTGCTGCTCCACTGACCTCCAGGTTACCCTCACTATCTCCGTGCCACCCAAGGGAAAGGTCCTAGAAATGACATGCATGGTGACCAGAGCAGAAGGGTGGAAAAGATCCTGGAGGTGTCAAATACCGAAAGACAAATCTGGGAGAGGGTAGAAAGATGCAAACAGCACCTGGCTTTCAGCAGCCGAGAAACACAGGTGCTGGTAAAACAGAACACAAATGGGAGAATGCAAAAAGCGAGCAACAGTGCCAGTGAGTGCTGAAGAGGGAGAAATCATGCTAAGAAAGCCAAAGAAATTAATTTTAAGAAGGAAAAAACAAGGAGTGAAGGTCTCAGCCTTCTTTACTCCACTTTTAAAAGCTCTGCTAGGAAGGAGGGCCTCTCTCTGCGCTTGAGTGTGTGAGAAAATCTTCACAGTAATTACAGCCAGAGCATAAATGCCTGTATTGCCATGCTCTGCTGCCTTAACCCTGTGCTGTGAGGACCAACCTTAATCCTTCGCTTATCAGGCTCTGCGTGTTCAGGTCCTAGTACTCAGTGTTATTATTTGCCAGTTCAGACATAAATTTTAACACACAGACAACTTTATGTCTGAACAGCTATTACAACTACAGGACTTCTTTCACCTATATGATCCACTAGTCCTCATTTGAAAGAGCACTTGACTACCACTGACCTCAGCTCAAGACACATCTTAAGAGTGAAGTATTTTTAAATTTGCATGAAAAACAGGTATTTACCAGAAAGCAGAGAGACACAGCTCCAATCTGACATTTCATCTTCTGCAAGCAGCTAAAAGAGCATCCACACGTGCAAATTCACTTAGAGAGCTCTTCCCACCAATCCTCACACATACATGCAATTGGGGGGGCGGTGGGCAGGCAGAATCCAAGTATTAGCTTTTTTAATATGTTTTGCCTGTTCAATTCTGTTAAAACTGTGAATGATGCTGCAAATGCCATCTGCTACTAACATGCACACATATGTTCAGACACAGAAATGAAATGAGAGCAAACATTTCAAAGAGAACTTCTGCTCATACTGTTTCAAGGCACCTGTTCCATAGCTTATAGGCAAACTCCTCTTGCATAGTAGCTTTCACAATTACATATGGAATTTATTTTACAAAGAAGTATCTTCAGTATTTATACCTTTTAGGGTAGCACAAGAAGTTTTTATGACTTTTTCACATTTTGAGTAACATCCTTGCTTCCAGTTTAAATAACACTGCAAAATTTCAGCAGGTTTTCACCTTCAGCCCCACACTTTACACAGAGGAAATCCACAAAGAAACAGCAAAGCTGTAGGCAGAAACAGTCATGCAGGAAGGAACAGAGATAGCTAATGATTTACTACTTCCTTTGGTCTAAAATGTTACCAAGAGACAATCAGGAGCAGAGTAATTCATGTATTGAACCAGACTGACAAGAACATAAGAGATGCAATTGTGAGCATACTTACAAAGGAAAGATGTATCAATCAAGAGTGTCAGACTAGATGGGATTAGATGGGCTGGGATTAGAAAAGCACATGATCTACTCCCCAGCTGAAAGAGGCTCCCAAGACTAGTATTTGCAATCACAAACTGGGTAATTAATTCAGTTTCAAAGAAAGAAAGAAAGAAACAGACAGACAAAAGCATAAATAGCCCTGCAAAAAGCTACATCTTTTTGTTTAATTGTCACAGGGTTGCATCACTTCGATCTAAGAAGTAGCACCTCCCACAACACAGACTCCAACTGTGTTCTTCCAGGCAACTAAAGAAATTACCAGATTACCAGCTGTCTGGATTTAACATATCAAATTAGGCCTTTACAAGAACTCAGGCCAATCAGATCTTTTCCACTGATGACTATAATTATCCTAATTGTTTGATGGTGTTCTTATTCCTACAGAACCATGGGGTTTGAATCAATGCCCACAGATGTGAGTGACACCTTTTCTATTAAGGTCTTAACTGTCGACATGAACTATTTACACATGGCTGTGAATAAAAGTTATGAGAGTGACAGTTAACCCATTCATTGTTGTGTGGAAATTACTGATGCTGCCATCACAGAAACATCTCTTATTGTGTATGTAAGGATGCAAAACCTGACATCTCAGAGCATTCTAGCCAGAGGGGAAATCAGTCACTGGGAAAAGGGATGAAGCATAGGAGAAGGGAGGGAAAGTGAAAGCAAAGGGAAAACAACTCTGGATTAAAACCAGAGTAACTAGACCTCCTCAGTTGCATGCAAATTACCTTTGCTGTAGGTTTACAGTTAAATTATACCTGAAGGATGATCCTGCTCTCTTTATTCCAGACTGGATTCAGATTTTGCTTGTCATTTTTTTCAAGGTTTTTTGGGGGGTTTTTTGGGTTTTTTTTGCATTATGAAAGTATTCTTTTCCTCTTCTGCAATGTTTTCAAGTGCACAGTGTGGACAATCTGTTATGCCTTCTCTGGACTGATTCATCAAACTGCTCTTCCCTCTAAACCTTCAAATCTCTGAAGCATGTATTCAGCAAGCATCCTCCACTCTCTTCATCTGTTAGGATTTTCAGTGCTGGCGTACAACACCCATTTTCTGGGAAATGGCTCAAAACCAACTAACACCTTACTCTTTTGATGTTTTGAAGACACTCCTCACTACCATAATACCCAAGTTCCACATTATCTCAACAAAATCTCCAGAGGTCAAAACAGACAGCTAAATTCTATTTGTGGATGAGGAGTCACAACACAGAAAAATGAAGCATTCTGAAACAGAAAATTAACCTTTAGTGAAAGAGGAATAGTTCACATTGAATTTAGTGGGAGGTAACGTAAAAAAGAGCGTGCACGCAGAAGTTTATGACACAGAAGCTCCAAGCTCAGGCTCAGACTGAATGTGCATTGGTGTGAAGAATGATTTTATCCCTGAGTTCCAGGTTCACAATACGTTGGGACTGGATCATCTTTTCCTCTATACACCATACACATGAAGCCTACAATCTGCTGACAGCCCTTACTGCCTAACACTACTCAGCACTAAAGGGACACAGAGGTCAATTTTCTTTTTTGACTACATCAGCTTTTTCCTGCTATATTTCTAATAGCATAGTGAATAGTGGTACTGTAGACTTATTTAAATACTGAAAAGTTAAAATGCAAGTCTGCATTAAATAATCTTTTCCTTTGATAAAAATAAGGAAATTGGAGAAACTGTTTGTCTTTCTTAAGACACCATATTGTTGCTACCCAAACCAACAGATGCTAAACACACTGAACACTAACAATCTCCAAAGAAAACGGACACAGAGAATGAGTTTTCTAGGATCTGAATGGTGAGCAACAGCCAACCCAGCCCATGTGCTTATAGCTGGGATTAGAGCCAATTGCTACAGAAAGATCAGATCAGATACTGTGAAAGAGCTCTGCATGACGAGGGTATCTCTAGGACTGGGGACTGGGAAATTGGAAAAAGCTTGATGAATAGTAGAAGGGAAGACTTCGCAAACAGGATGAAGAGAGCTGCAGTAGGTAAAGGGACTACTTCCCTCCAAAATATCTGTAACAATTGTCTAATTAACATGAAAAACTGCATCAGACACTGCCCCATTTGTGCATGAACTGACCCCATCATAACTCTGAAGAAGATTGGAAAAAGTACCAGTTTTAAAGCTGCACAAGGTATTAAGCGCAAAGCAACGTCGTGAGTACCCTATTCACCATAATTCATCTTAACCAAAGAAAGAAGTTCTCAAAAAGTTAAGCTCTGTTTGTGTGTGTATGTGTGCACATGCGTGCACATTTACCATCTACACATATTACAAGGGGAAAAGATTTTACTTCAGCATCTGTTAGCCCTTCCTGACCTTTTGCTATCAAACATTTGTATCCAAGTTCAATGAAAAGCAAAACCAATTCATTTACACTTTTTTATTTCAGACAGCAGTTCCTCTCCCTGCCTTTCTCAAAAAGATACCCTTCATGGACTTGGCAATAGCTTATGATATACATTGCACACTGTGCCATTTGCAAGTGCAGATTTAGGAACAAGCATCTTGGTTAGATAGCCACGGCACAAATCACCTTAATTCTAGCCTTCTTACAGCCATGATAAATCAAAAAACCTCCTTCTTTTTGAATTCACTCAAAAAGAAAAATGTGTAGGAAGCCTTCATTCTATACTTTTCCCTTTTATAAAAAAAGGCAACTCTAAGTATTGTTACCTTATTTCCCATTTTGAGCCCACACTCAGAACAACTTCTCTCAATAAGATAAATATTATTATCAAAAATGCTCAAACTGACAACTTCTCCTCTGAAATTCACAATGGGAAAACCACGCTTCTTGTTTCAGACTATCTCGTATACCACCACTGCATGCTACAGTGCTTTATAGCCAAAGCCCTTCCCTGAAACAAACTGAAACTTTATTCCCACAAGAGGACCTTGTTTTCACTCTGAAAAAAAACTTAGCAGATTTACCATGAAATCCCACCAGAGCTCAACACAATGTGTGCCTGGAATACACCATTTCTGCAATGAAAATAAATGAAACCACGCATTCCTTTGCTCTGCAGGGGAAAAACAAGTTCTTCCAGGACAAGCTGTACAGGATGTCCAGACTCACACATTGAGCATACTGGACAGCAGGCATTTAAATGCTGGTATGTTCTCTGCACTTTAGTTTTGAGTTTATGTATACAAATCAGCGGTTGGGAAAGGAAGACTGTAATTCAGCTGGCTGCTGCCAGACTTCACTGCTGATGGCTTAATCTGATCAGTATCTCTCAGTAAAATTAATTTTGTTAAGTAATTTTTTAACATTTAAATCAGCTACTAGCAAACATACTTATATACACATACATTTACTATATACCCCAACAGACAATGCAAATAAAGGGCATTCCATAGCAATCGCTGCCTAAGAAATGAAGGAGTGATTACTTGTCAAAGGGAACATGCTCATGGCAATTTCTTAATTTCCTTACTTCAAATGAGGTTTTTCAGGCAGTAGGAAAAGACAAATGGTTTTCTGACTTCTATCATAAGTTATTTTGGAATGGTACATGATTTTATCTCATTTTAATGGGAATTACTGATTAATTACACATACCCTTAAGATCATATACAGCTGATAGGCATCATTACTGAAACAGAACTTTCATTTCATTTGGAAGTCATTTGTTACCTCTAATAAGTGTGAAAAATGTAGAAGAAGCTGAAGACCTTTATACTAATTTCATCTTCATGATTTTTTTTTTTTTTCAAAGGATCGTGGACTAGTTAGGCTATTCTTTAAGGTTTTTCCCATTCTATTTGAGCATAACTCTGACTTTTTTGGCTCTCTGAACCAGCAACAAGAGGTTGCAGTCTATGTTTTTGCCTCTGGCAAAGCTCTTGCTGAAATCCATGGTAATTCTGTGAGTACAGTCTGCAGGTTCAGGCCCTTCAAAGCTTCAGAGTGCTCAAGACAGAACTCTCAGTATGGCAAAGACTGACACATCAGATAAACTTAGCCCTCTACACAATGCTGGCTTCAAAACCAATTCAGAAAGTACAGCTATACAAATAGCCTAAATGAAATATGAATTATGACTTCTGACAACAGCAGTTTCATTTTTATTAGGGCACTATAAAAAGTGACAGAACTGCTTTTCTGCATGCTCGTTTTATTTGATGTCACACGTTTTATATTCACAGTGAATGCTCAAGACATCAAGTGAGTCAAGAGAGGCATCAAGTGGCAATTCTCTGGCTAAAGGCTTGGTCTGTGAAGTGGTAGCAGTCAAAACACACACTTCCAGTCCTTTTGAAAAAAGTGGATATTACAAAGCTACAGGAACATTACCATCTGCAAAAGACAGAACTGCTATCTTGTGACACCTCTTTCTACGGACACAGAACACCACTAAGGAGCACAACAGCAATAGTCCAAAACATCTGCTAATTTTTTGCTATTATTAAAATGTCTGTACATCCTGTTTCCAAGCCCAGTACGACAACATCTTCATTACACATCTCCCTTCTCAGGACTCATTCTTTTATGAGAAAATCTTTCTGGACTGAAATTCAGACAACTGGATATAGGCCAGAAAGGCAACCATGAACAAGTTTTACTTTGGGCATTATGACAGAAACAAACAAAGGAGTTTTGAATTCTATTGCCCCTACTTCCATCACAGTGCAATTTATGGTATTAGGCCCACAACAAAATTCTGTTAAAAGCCTTCTGCTTATCTCCTGACATTTTCCTGGCTTTTAAAATTGAAGGTTCTCAGCAACTCCAGTTGCATTAGGCCATTTCTGTTTGAAATAAAAAGCAAGACAGCTACCGAAAGATCTGTGGCATCCACTAAAGATTGTTTCACGGTTAACATTCTCTTGCTTGATCTTTCCATCCAAAAGTACACCACGTTCCCTACATCGTAAATTAGAAAGGGATTTCTTGTCTTTGTGCTTCCTTCTTTCCTACCTTTAGAACAGGAATGAGAAATTATTTAAACAGCAAATCCCACAGCAACTTCCTACAGTAATATTTACCTTTGCATTTGTATGTAATATTCTCCCACAACTGATCTGTTGTGCATTCTGAAAAATTCCTTTCTCCATTAAAATAATATCCTTCTTTACACTGATAGTACACTCTGCTTCCTAGAGTGGTAGAGTTGTCCCAGATTATTTCTGTGTGTGGAATCAGCAAAGGTTTGCCACAGTCTATTTCTGCAACAGAAAAAACAGGATAACAAAACCTGAAAATGAAAACAGGCAAGGCATACCAAAGTGTTTAAGGAAGAGAGACGGAATTGTCCCAGCAAGAAACACTTCACTTTTTTCCACTTCCTAGTGCTTTCTAGAAGCCAGGCCAGCCCTTTAGAACCCAGAATTTTGTGACTGGAGACTTTCTAGCAGGGTGGGGCATTTAACCTTCAAGATGAACCATAAAGTAACAGAGTATCCTGTTTAGAAATGGAGAACAAGGATCTAAACAAATTTTTATAAATGGATCTATCTGCCCACAACACTCTTCTTATCCCCCATGTGCTCTTTATTCCTTTACCTGTAATTAGTAACAACAGAGCTGAAAAATGAGACACGGCCAAGGTGTGACACAGAAGAAGACCATCAAGAAGGTTATGTTCCTTTGCTAGTGAATTTAATTCAAGCTTTGGAAAAAAGGAGAAGCTGCTACAGAGAAGCAGAAAGAGCACTTCTGGGGGAAAATTTGATGGATTATTCAGACTACTTCAGAGATTATTAGAAAGCTAGGCTAATGCACTTATAAATTAGTTCATTTCCTTAGTTGTTTCCAGGGGCTTCATAATAAAATTAGGCCACAAAAAATAAAGAGTGAAGATCAAATCAATGGAATATTATTATTTAGGGTTAAAATTCCCTTTCAAACCCCCAAGGAATGTTACACCCCAATAAAAGATTCGGCATCACTTCACTTGTAAGAAGTACACAACATAAGAATGAAAAATCTTACCTTCATGAAAGCTTATATGCAGAAAACAAGTGCTTTAAAAACTGTTCAATAAATAATCTTAAGTGATTCTGAAATTCTACTCAAAAAAATGAAAACAAAGAAGTAAAAACCAAAGTTTATAGAATCATGATCTGTACAACCTTTAAAGGAAGAGTTAAACGTATGTATTGCAATGGGCAATACATCCTCCATCACGACTAACTTTCTTTTCATATCCCAATGGGTATGAATGTATGTACCTATTACAAATCATCAGAACAAGCTGGAAACTCTCCAAATACGGGAATTTTAAGGGGATGCTAACAGCTAATAGTGGTTCAATTTCTGAGTAGTGGCTTCAACCACAGAGTAGATATTGAGCTAGAAAAATGGCAGGAATTTAGGCTGCTATCATCTCATGGTAATCCCTGTGCCTGACATGCACTGGGATTTTGTCTTTATAATGCTAACTTTTGACAGTTTATTGCAACTTCATTAGCAACACAGATAAAACAAAACAAAACTGTTTAATACATGGCTTTTGTTTTGTAACTGAAATTCATATGCCAGAAGAGGATGTCTCTAACTGATGACTGCTATTTATTATGGTGGCTGAAACAGTATCCATGTTAATTAAATCTGAAGGCGGTTTTGATTTACCTTTGCACACCAAATCAGTACCATCCCACTGTCCTTTGGCATTGCAGACTGCAGTCTGATTGCCGCTTGCAATAAAGTAACCATGAGCACAATTGTAAGTAACTTCACTTCTGTATGTGGTCCCACTTACGGATGCTGGATGTGCATTTAAAACAGAAGGTGGAACGCCACAATCCACACCTAGGGAGAGGAAGAAAGAGAAAGATAAATGTGTTAGTCAAGCACCAGAAATAACGCTGCCTGCACTCCCATAAATATTTCTTTCATTGTTATCAACCAATTCTCTTCTACGTTAATCCAACACTCCCTCATGTCCTCTGCAATATCCCCACTGTGACTGAGAGTGCTGTAGCTACTCCAGAACTGCTTCCAAATAAAATGGCTTCTCTGCCTTCTTCTCACAACAGCATACTAAATCTGTGACTCCTTCCTCAGCCTAGCTGCTAGTATACAGAGAACATCCTGGGGTTTTTTTTTAATCTTTGATTCTCCTGCTTTTACAAACCTGATTATATGTGACAAGCTGGTTCTACATCATTCGTAGTGAGGAACAGTCAGAGGGAGGCAGATGAGCAGAAACTGCCTTTAGGAAGCAAAATTTTAAAAAGTGCACAAAGACCAGAGAAATGCAAAGTCATAGAAAAGGTTATAACACACAATGCAAAAGTTTCCTGTTAAAGCAAAAGTCTACATGGTGTTCAAAATGCATTGTAATAATTGCTCTATTCACTAATGTAAGCAATCATCTAAAAGGCAACGTTAGTGTGACACAACACTCACATTCAACAGTTTAACTATGCCTCTTCATATACATCATATCTTCCCACTAAACTATCTGACTTTTCATCTCAAGACAATCCTTTTATTAACATTCAAGGGAAGTTATACTTCTCAAAAAACAGATTACATCCTTACATTTAAATAAAAAGGGTGATCTGCTCCGGACGTTAGGTCACACATCTTAGCAAATTTGACCTACCTTCAGTGGCCAGTTTCATCATCACTATGTAAAATAAACTCTTAAATTACCATAGGAAGGAAGACCAAAGACAAGTTTATTGATTTTCCTGAAACAGATGACATTACAACTGGCCAGGAAAAATTTTTAAATTAGCAATAAAGACTTATCAGGGAAACTCTCAGAGTTTCAAGAATTATTTAAAGCTCCCTTTACTAATATTAAATAAAAAAAAAATCAGACTTGCTGGTTTTACAAAAAGAGAAGTCTTAATTGAAATCCAGGAAAAGAGCTTGCAGGTACAAAGCAGAAATAAATTTGTCATTTCAGACTCATGGCTGTTTCTTGGTGTTCAATGTGGTTTATTTCAGTTAATGTTGAGAGATGTGCTCAGAAACTCTGACCTGACCTACTGTTTGACTATAGAAACTAAAAAAAAAAATCACATGAAAAAGCCATCACTGAAAAATTTTAATAAAAAACAAATGTACCAACAACTCACAAGGACTCCATTCCATAAGCTTCCGTTAGGGACCTCTAGAGACTCTGGACACTTCCTTTTTTGTTTTCAAATTCATTTATTTATTTTTTTGGAAAAATGTTGTTTGAATTGTTTTATTTTTTATTCCAGTAAATTAGTATTAAATTGTTTTATCTTTTCTTTCCGATGAATTCTCTAGTGATATTTAATAGTTGACTTTTCCCAGCCACACTGATTTAGCATCCTTACTATAGTTTATTAACTTCCCATGGACACACATACAAACATCACGTTTCTATGCACCCCCAAAGAAAAAAAAAGGGGGGGGGGGAAGAATTAGAAACCAAGAGGGCTTTTGTATTTTGAGAGAAGGACCTCTCCTCACTAAATGGTAATTTTAAGGATGACAATTCTCCCCTGTAGAATTGTTATTCACAGTGTAGTTTCTGTTAGCTAGCACTAACTAGTATACAGACTTTCTAAGTACTCAGAGGAATGCAAAACCCTGCACTTCTAGCAGTAATATTTCAACAGAACGGGTGATTAGAACACCAAAGCAAGTGGACGTTTTAAAGATGCTCACAGGAAACTTAACGCTTCAGAGATGTGAAAGCATTTGCTCATGCACAAATGCTCTTAAAATTATGAAGGCTATCCAGAGATGAGTGGTGGTATGATGCCTCTCTTTTGCATCTGCAGTCAATCTTAGGAAAAAACAATCTGTCAGAAAAATTGTACTTTTCATGAGAGGTCACTGATGCCTTCCAAGTCAGTGGCCCTTCCCATGAAATGCTACAGAAATCTAGTTGTTTTCTGGGCCTTGGTTCACAGGCACAAGGACACATTGCAGTGTCTGTAAAAATGCAAGGACCAGCATCGAAAATGTCTTTACACTAACAAGAAGAGGTGGCACAATTTTACAACCTGTCCTTTTCTTTTCTTTTTTTGCAAATAGCCAGATCTTGAAAAATTATCCTTCAGACTGAGGAAACACTCTACTGTCACAAACACACTTCCCCATGCATAAACCTCCTTAATGAAAAATTTAAGAAAGACTTAAGACTGTTTTCACCTTTACAGCTTAAAGTGGCAGGTTCCCAAGTTTCATTTGCAGTGCAATGTGAGAACTTGCCCTCGTCGCTGTAAAATCCTTCTTTACATTCATACAGAACCACACTTCCTAGTAGTGAGCTGTAGTTTCCCACAATGTAGCCATGCTGCATTTCAGGAGGGGAACCACATCCAATTTCTGCAAAGAGATTGAGTTAAAAGATCTCACAGTAAAAAAAATCACAACACACACCCACTTTAAGATGAGCTGAACTGGATAGTCACCTCACAAAATACACCCAATCAGATGAATGTGAGGGGTCGCCAAAGGGGTACAAAGATTACAGTTGAAGTGTTTACTGGCCACAGTTGGAGGAACACAGTGATCCAGGTATTGAGCTACACCTTTACTAACATACAGCTGGAACCATTCACAACACCAAAGAGGCGACACTGCAATGTGATGGTGGTCTGCGTATGACAGTCTCATTACAGCCACGGCTGAATGATGCTTCAAGGCTAGATGAAAATTTCAGGCCCTAATGCACAGCTTTACTTCCCTGTGCTTTCGAAAGGTGAAGCACAGTGGATAGGCTGAAATGAAATCATCTGCCCCTCAATTCCTCCATCTCACTGAACCAGCCTATATACAAACCTACATTCCTTCAGCACAGCTGCCTGACAGCGCTCCCTTGTCCGACTCTGCAAGTGACACAGTCAGTACGGACATGCTGCACAGCACGTGGAGGGGCAAGTCAGTGAGATAAGCAGTGTTATCAGCAATTCTGGCAAAACGAAGCAGAGCACTCCAGCTGGAAGCACTGGACAAAGTACAGGCAGTGAGCTTTGTGGACTTGCAGTAATTCAGAAATGACAGCTGGATATAATAGAGGCAGTTCCTTCTACCTAGGATGCCAGGGTTCATTACACACTCTGACAGCTACAGCTTATGCTGCTAGCACTTTGTATCTGTGAAAGCCTACATTACAGAGGAAAGGAAGAACAGTTTCAAATTTATTTTTTTTTATGGCGAGATAAAAAAACCAGTTTATTTATGCAGGTGGCACAGTGTAGAATAAATAGCTAAATTATTATTTTATTAGGCTTGTTTCATTCACGTGACCCATCTTACCAGCTCTTTATCCTCCTTTCCCTTCCCCATCAAGCAGCGGGATTATATAAACTTAAGTAGATTATACCACACTTCCTTCCTATTCAGAAACTCACTACATCACCCTCATGGCATTATTCAGTTTCTCTGACTCTGCACACCTGAACCACTGCTGAAAGCCTGTAGAAGTCATATTCAGTGTCAACTGTACCATCCAGACATCACTGGAACCCAAGAAGAAAAAAATTCATACAGCAGGCGAAGTCCACAGAGAGGGCTTCTGCCCTGCAGACTTGAAAGCACAGGTCAGAGCAGGGATTACTATATCATGTAAGATCTGGTTTTATCTGATAGTGAAAACAGCATCCAAAGACTCTCACCTTTGCATGAAACTCCGCTCCCATCTGGATGAAAAGAACGCTCTCCATTTTCCAATTTATAACCTTCATTGCAGTAACAGTTGTAGCTGCCTTCAGTATTCATGCATCTTGCATTGTGACCGCACAGCCCAGACTCCTCACATTCATCTATATCTAAAAATTCAGAGAAAAATATATGCACTTGGTAATAGCTTTGGGTTTTTTTTTAATTAATTAATGTAGGACCCAAGCTTAAAACAAATAAAGCATTTCATGAAAGGTTCTATGTAGCTTCTGATGGCTTGTCTGTGAAACAAAGGAGCTTATCATTGCCTGGTATTCAAGCATCCAGGAGGAGACTCTCAATTTTGTCGCCAGATACCTTTTGAAGCGCTTCCGTTTTACCTGACAAATAGTTTCCAATCTTGTCTCCTGCTACAACAATCCCAGAAAAATCCCGTACCTGCAAATATCTTAATCAGTTACAACAATACATTACTGTAACAAGGAACTGACTCATTTTCTACACTAAATACAAATATGACATTCTATGGGAAGGTAAGTATCATCTTATTTTTTAAATCTGGCTTCTTTTTCTGAAGATTATTACTTGAATGTGACTGTGAAGCAATGATTCTAACACAGCAAAGAATGCAAAACGGAACTAATTCATAGCTGTTAGAACCTAGATGTCAAATAAGTGTTTGCACCCACAGCAGAAACTGCTCTGATGCAGTTTTAGAAAGTAAGTTCTAAGCTGATAGAAAAAAAAAAAGATTTGTGCAGTAGAAAAGTTCTGGATTCCCAGTGGTCTAGATTCTTTGTGATGTCTACCTGTACAGTTCGTGCCATCATTGGGAATAAATGTCTTGTTGTTGTTGGAGGCTCGGTATCCATCAAGGCAAACACAGTAAAAACTTCCGTGTGTATTATGACACAGTGTGTGATTTCCACAGATCTTGACGGCTCCAATCTGGCATTCATCTTTATCTGTCAGCATATTTAAAACACAGCACAGAGAGACTAAGAAAAGTAGAGTATCCCCCCCTCCCCACTCATCCTTGTGTAACCAGACTTCCCCTGTTTTTCCAAGTTATTTGGGATATAAACAGTGCTAGTAAGCTGGAGTATTTAGACCACCAGAGGTTGCTGTCCCCGGATGAAACTGTGAATAAAGTTTCATGACAACGCTTGAGCTGATCTAAGAGCTGTTGAAACCAGAAGGCCCCGCTGTCCGCTTCTGCTCTTCCTTACGGCATGCGCTGGCTGCAGCACTTGTGCTGATCTTACCCAGGTCTCTCAACTGGCAGAGAATTAACATGGCAAAATGTGCAGCTTCTCTTCTCCCACAATAATGAGATAATTGAACTCTGGGCAAGGCCCAGGAGGTGCCAGTGCTTGTGATGGACGGGAAAGAGATCAGAAGTGGAGAACCTTCCCCTTTAAGCTGTGGTAGGCTATGATATACACTCACACACAGCATTTGACATCATCCTTTGATTCACATACTGGTTTGTCATGTATACAATAGTATTAAAAGGACACCATCAGCCACAGTAATAAAACAATGCTGAACAACACTTTACATGTAACAGACATTAGCACCTAAGAAATGTGTATGTATGCACACTTTTATTAAGAACCTTCAACTTATGAAATTAATTTTTAGTTACCCAGTAATCTAAGATAACTGGGAAAATCAGCAAAATAGCACTAATTGTCAGCTTTATCATCTAGTTTTCAGTTCAAGGGTGCATAGGTTGAAAAGAATATTAAAGTGAAGCCCACCATATTTAACTTCTTTTTTTTTTGCTGAAGCTAAGGTAAAAATATTAAATAAACCATTCCAATACTTTTTTAAAAAGTATTTTATAAACCCCTACATTTTCTGAGACAAAATTAATTTAAATCCTTCATTATATAGCAGAAACTGAATAAAATAGTTAAGCAACTAAGTACAAAACAATACTTACATCAAGTAAAATGGCTAGCTGTTTAAAAAAAAAAAAAAGGAAAAACAATCTGCACATACTCTAGGCTTTGGAAATTCTGCCAGGAAATGACAAAGCTTTTACCGTGTTTTGAGTTCAGTAATATTACTTGAGAAAGAACATTTTAGGAACACGCACAGTTTCTTGCCATTGTACAAACAGGCAGCCTACCTTGACAATGAGTTCTTCCATTGCCTACAAATCCATAGTTACAGATGCAGACACTTTTTCCTTCAATTTGATGACATGTAGCATGAATGTGGCAAGTTGCACACACATCTGGAACTGATCTGGTCACAACTGCTTTAAGAACAAAAAGATGCAATTACTTTTTTTTAAGGACAATAAAGGTGGTCTGGCATGGGTAACTGGCACAGAATTTAAAGTGGAGATAAAATCCAGATTAAAACACAAAGAATAAAATCCCATCTCCTCCCATCTCATTTTCAAGCTTGCAGGAAAAACACAGACATAGTATTCAGAGGCCAAAGACAAAAAAATAAGCATAAAGTATTAAACAAAATAACTATACTGAACAGTTTTCTCCATCCATCTATTCTCTGACCACAAAAAAACCCAGCTTTTCAGCAATTAGCAAGGTTTAGAAGACATAAATAGCTCTATCCAGTATTATTAACCTTCTCTCCATTTTCTTTCCCTTTTGCTTTTATTTCTGTTTCCTCATTTATTCTATTATCTTGTTTTTATTTTTTATGCATAGACATTTGGGCTATTTATCAATCTATTTGTATCTTCTACCATCAACATGTATATGGTATAAATGTTATTCATAAAAATAATGTTGAGAATGCGACCAGCAGGAAAATTGCTTATAGTAAAATCATTTGAGAAATGAATTTATATTAGAAGTAGTTTTGCAGCATATGACACACAATCTAATTTATTCCAATTCAATAGGACTACAAATATACATGAAACCAGAATAAAATATGAACTTATTCTCTTATTTGTAGTCATACTTTCAGTGCATTACGCGCATTTGTCTCCATTTTTGGTAAGCTCTTTTTGTTACCTTCACACATGCACTGGCTTTCCAAACAATAAACCTCAGAACGGAAGGTTTGAACGCAGACAAAGTATGTATGTGTTTACACCCATTTTTTACATTTTTAAAGCTATAACTAATACTGCGTAAGCTGATGTTGTCTCATGATGCTGGACACAGAAGAGTAAAAAATTCCATACTGCTAAGACAGCTAAGACTGAGAAGGATGGTGTGGTTCTTACAAAACACAAGCCTTACTGCATATATAGCTGCTCTGACAAAATTTTGTGTACCTCTACATGGTGTCCAAGTACATAACCATAACAGGAAGGAGAAGGCAGCTGAACACTCTAGCCAACCTTTTTAACGCACCAAAGGTATCAGTGTGATAAAGGTGCCCTTCCCCACGCGCAGCGTTTCAGTTTTACTCACAGTGCATTTCTGAGTGCCTTAAGAATCGCAGGAAGCATCATGGACTCCTACTCCCAATTCTCAATGCTTTTAAATACCTTTTTATATGTGTTTCTACTAAGAACAGAAAACTAAAATTGTCAGCATGCAATGGTAGCCAATTTAGCTAAAAAAATTAAATTTAAAAACAGCCGCGGTAGTAACTTTCTCATGATACCTCAATCTTGTGATAAGACATGGGAGTGTCCTCCTCAGATTGCTGCTCCAGGAGATAGAAACCGGTTTTTTTCCCTCCCTTACTACTGCAGATGAAACTTCACA